GTTGGAAATACACAGAAATATGTTTTGTGAAGTCTGTTTAAAGAAGTGTCTTAGGTAAATGAAATATATCAGACATGCAATAAAAACCTGTCATATACCGTACACAATATGTGGTCCCATTGTTTTAAAATAGATTTTCTGGTCAGATTTAATAGGTGATTAAAAATAGTTTCAAGACTTAGTATTATGTATAAAATATAGAATCATTTTTATTTTGGTATATCATTGATGAAGATGAATGGAAGTCTCTTTTCTAATGCTTTATCCAATGTTTCAAAAATAGTCTTCTGGATTTCATGACTAAATTGCTAGTTAAATAAAAGGTAAAAAGTAACATGTTTTAGTATTACAATAAAACTAATTAAATTGACAATGTAAAATCAACATCTAAAAGCCAAAGATAAACAAAAATAATAGGCCACAATCAAACTAAAAATACTGAATATGATCGACCAATAGAATATTAATTTTATTACACAGCTATTCATTGGAAATCTGTGATACATCACAGGCCATAAACAATACTAGGTTTAATAATAGCTAAGGATAGTGGTAGACCAATTCATAAAAACATGATTAATTTAGACAAAGTAAGAAAATATTCAATGTTGTAAATAAAAATATATAATTAGAATAATTTAATATTTTGTTCTGAAAAGTGAATGAGTTTTTTTGAACATTTAGTTTTTTAATGCCGAATGACTACCAGAGGATAGTAGTAAAGGTAGTACTATAACTTAAGATTAGTAAAAAAAAAAAAAAAAAAAAAAAAAAAAAAAAACTATCCAAGATGGGTGATGTTTCCAGTTGAAAATATTAAGTATTTTCTTACTCAATACCATTAGGCTCAAATATAAGTGAAAAATACAATTCACACAAAACTGATATAAAAGCAACTTTTTTTTTTTAAAAGATCATGTTCAATATTTTACAAACAACTTTAAAATAAACCCACCTTATCTGAGCTATAGTTATTTTCTTAACTTAGCAAGACAAAAGTTATTCACTCAGACTGCAACATTATTGGACGAGAAAGTTACACGGAGGTTTCTATACAACTATATACAGAAAGGAACGGACACGGATGACACGACACTGATACGACATCGATATTGCAGCCCAACCAACGATATTGTGATATTGCTCAGTCAAACGTCTTATAAAAATATATATTACAATAAACTATCTGTCATATTATACACAAGAATCAATCAAACTTTCCGAAATACAAGAAAGATAAATCAACAACTTAGTTCCTTTACAGGGAAATTAGATCTTTACAAAGTTTAAATCGTGGTTAATATCCTATCAACTACCTCACAAGTTTTTGAAACAGCTGTAGAAGTCAATGACATTATACAAGTCGTCAGAATTTCAATACGATACAAGAGATTAAAAACCAAGATGATAGTTGTTTAATATTTTACAATAATGTGCCAAAATTAAAATACTAAATTCTAATACTTGCATGAGGTCAAAACTTTTACTATTCAGAAAAAAGTTATTTGTCAAGGATTCTTTGATTTGTAAAAGATTTGTGGATAAAAATCTAAAAAAATATTGAATGTTAAAAGCTTGTAGTGATGAGATACTATGAAATTCATATGAGATTTACAAGATCATCTCATATGATATGATAGATCTGATGCATCTCATATGAGTTCAGTATGAGTATATTCAGTATAAGTTTAATGAAGAAGAAGATTTAACTTCATAGTACAAGATTTTAATGCAAAAACATTTCAATTGATTAAAACCAATTTGCATTAAAATCTTGTAAATCTACATAATTAACAATGCAATGTGTAGGTCTCATCTAGTGAGATGAGACATAAAACATATGAAATAGAGCTTTAGCTCAAGATTATTGATTGAAAATTATTGATTATTGTTGCAAGTATAATAATATTATAAGATATCAAATTGGTATTAAATTAATATTTTGTTTTTGATCAGTGATGATATTATTATACATAACGTAGTTATTAATAAAAATGAAATTTATATTGACAATGGGGATTTATTTGTTACAATATAACTTCATTGATAACTGTGCAAGATATCAATGGGGTCAAAAACTAACATGGGTAGTTGGTATTCTGGCCTTACTTGCAGATCGAGTAATATTTATTTGCTTTCAATAAAATTTATCATACGTTTATACAGCAGAGTTTTCTTATTATTAAGAACCAAGCTTACAATGAAAAACCTTCATTAAAATAAGTACCTTATAAGCTATGTATGGTACACTATGAGGTATAAATTGTCAAAAACATTTTGCAGTATGTACCAAAAGAAATATTTACAATAGTTAGCAAAGGATAGTAGGGATTACTATAAGTGAAAGTTACTTGACACAAAAAGTTTCTTGAAATATTAAAACCTTTTAAAATTGTGTAATACTCAAGCCAAATCAGCATCTTTAGATGTTTAAAAAATGTGATCTACTATAACTTAGATCCAAAACATACGACAGAGATATGCAGCTATTATGCTAGAAAATAAAACTAAAAAGATAACAAATAAACAGGTTGAAAATTAAGATTTTAAATACAATTTTGGCTTATTTTTTTCCTAAAATAGGACTAAACACATACAACACTATAAGCAAATGTACAACTATTTTAAGTGAACACATCGATTTTATATTACCAATCAATGACAATAGTACAAAGGCAGAGTGCGTGCTGCTTTAAAAACTTCATCTATCAAATAAAATTTATGTAAAACTTTATGCTGTCTACGATGGTTTTCATATTTTACAATCATTACAGCTGAAAAAAGAAAATTAGAGCGATAAAATACTTACCCAAATAACTTACCTTGTGCAGCAAACAATCTTCTGTAGTCAGATTTCCGATATGATTTACCATCATGGGAGTGCTGTAGCAACCTTTCAGCTTTTTTTCCCACACATTTGTGTCTTTTGGTATAAAAAAAAACCTATAAACCATAAAAAACGGAATGGCTATAAACCACAAAAACTGAATGGCTTATTTTTTTTTTACTTGCTTTATTTTGTTCTCTTCTGTTATCACGACCACACGGATTTACATTAGGTTAATTAACAAAAAAATAAATAAAAATATTTTTGTATAAATAACCCAACCCAGGTTGGGTTATTTATTCATTTATACAAAACTATATTTAGTTTGGTGAAAACAACAGAACAGTAACTGTAATGTTTAAGAAATATATCAAATAGATAAAGTGAAGTATGGAATTGTCATTACTGTTGTTTGATAACAACGACATTTCTTTAAGCCGGGTTTTCCTAGGCGCGGAGTCGGCCAGCCGAGAGAGGAACACGGAGAGCGGACTCAGCTTGTCTTAGGTAATTTAATGTTACTGTTTTCCTAGCAGCGGAGCGGAATGCCATGTTAATTTCAATTCCGCTTTCCGTTGTCCGCTCTCCGCTGGCCGACTCCGCGTCTAGGAAAACCCAGCTTTAGAAGTAACTTTCAACACAATAAAGTTAAAGTTGGAGTGATTCCGAGACGCATAAAATTTTTTAGAAAATCTTTGAATTTAAATCCTTAATTTCATTTATTTTAAGTTTCCTATGAATAACTCTTGTATAATAGGCCCAAAATCATCCTAATCTCTTCCAGTAGAATGTCCTGCCTTGTACTTTGAGATAACTCTGAATTCACAATTCAACAGCCTTTTATGGATATTCTGACCAACATAGCTCTGGACACACAGCCACACCTGCCAGTACACTAATAAACCTTACTCTTACTGCATTCTATACTCTTTCCTGCTCCTGTACTCAAAGGCAGACTAGAAAAAAAACTTAAGTGAGCAGGTTTTGATTTTCATACATACTGGAACGGTAAAAATCTGCACAAACAAAGCTGGAAAAATAAGTCCTGTGTCAAAATTTGACACTTTCAAATTTTTTAAAAAGTGACTTAACTGTACTTTGAAATCTGGTATTAGCGACAAAACCCTAGTACAAAGAAAACTTAGGAAGAATATACGTAGTTTAGTTCACCTATGACTTTTCATGGACAGCATTCAAGTTTGAATTCAGTAATTTTCATGCCTGATCAGTCTAGTCGCTATGTTTGTAACGCAAATATGTGAATTCGTTCAGCTGAGTATAATGTATAATCATAGACAAAAAGAATTAAATATAGACTGTCAGCCGTGCTGCGGTTACCATAGGTTTTGGCGCACACCGCTGGGAGTGCCGTGTAGTTAAGTAGCGCGTACGCCATAACTACATGGTGCTCCCAGCGGTGTGTGCCAGAACCTATGTGGTCTATATTTAATTCTTTTTGTCTATGGTATAATACAGTAGATTCCCTCTTATCCAGACCCTCTGCCTATCTAATCCGGTTAAACCGATGTGCTGATAAAAATTGTCTGGTTAAAAAGATGTCATTTTCGCCGAGTGTAGTCTGGTTAAACCGATGTCCGGTTAAAAGGTGTCCGGATAAGAGGGAGTCTACTGTACATTTAAAATTATTGGATATCCATACTTTTGTGACTTCTTTGTTTAAGAAATTTTCCATTGAAAATTTAATTGAAATTTAATTTTCAATAACCCCTGAAGGGGTAGCGTGTCACTGAATAATTGTGCTAAAATGATTTTAATGCCCAGTAACTCTGTACCAAGTTTTGTAGCTCTATTTTTATTAGTATTTGAAATAATTAACTGTCCTGGGACTTTTTGTACCCTATATAGTCATTAATTAAAGTAAATTAAATGTAAAATTTTAATTGATAATTATATAAGGAATATTCACTTTATTAATAAAACCTTATTAATAAAAAGGCTTCCTTAAAGGGACACAAATAATCTCTTAAATTAAGAAATAAATTCATAAGGGGAAATATGTAATTGCTACAGCAGATTTGCTAAAAAAACATCTAGGTATTGTTAATACAAACCCTGAGCCACTAAATTTACATAAAGTAATTAGCCATGCTACAACAAGCGCAGCAAAGGAATGCAGCAACCATGCAGGGAAAATAACGAAAAGCCAGTCAAATCAAATCAATAACTCTATTTGTCATTCATACAAACATTCAACAGTGACCGAACCTGAGACCGGCTACATTCAATGTACAACTAAGAGCATTCGTAAATTAGACTAAACACTAGCGTGACAATCCACCGTGAAGACGAAATAGTTTAAGACCGTGGTCAAACTTTTTACAATATTTATATTATAATCCATATATTAATACTGTACCGGTTTAAATATATGCGGTGTTCTCATTACAAATGTTACAATAAAGACCACAGACGGTACAGCATCACTTGGTGTTTTATGGCAACGATTGAAAAGTAAAATTTGTCAAACTAGTAAAACAACCAATCCCGGCTCAAACCGGTTCACTTCCGTTACACACTAAATAGTAAAAATCATAACTTCATGAGGAAATAAAAGAAGTGTTAACAATTCTCCTATAAATTACTGTCTTTTAGAACTTAACGGTTATGTTAGGTAAAGTAGGACGTGATGTTGATAAGCGCTAGCTTGATATGTTTTACGTTGCCAACAAGTAACGTAATGATAATTATTGTATTAACAAAAAAACTAAAAAAAAAACAATAACAATATGGAAATACTTGAAAAAAATAATCTGTCAATAATTAAAAAGTTATGAAATATTATTTTACAACAAACTAATTTTAAATTCCCAACTAAATAAAAATACATATTTAGCAAAATTTTATTACAAATTTGTGTCAAATAACTTACAATCTACAAAAGACAGTAAAAACAATAAAAGACTAATCTAACGCTAACATATATGGAATTTATCATCCGTTTCCGAGTGGCAGTTTCTCTGCGTTTCCGTATGTTTTGTTTGACATTGACAGCAAATAAATTATAAACATCCACAAAACAGATAAACAATAAACAATTTTGGGTAATAAAAAAAAATAATTCAACTGAGGTGTTAAAGGACAAAATTAAACAAACAATAATGAATTTTACAGTTAGTTTTGTTGGGCTTATCATTAATAATTGACATGTAAAGAGCGAGAAACTGCCACCGGGTTGAGGGTCTACTCCTTGTCCCCGGCATCTAATGGTTCAGATTTGAAGTTGAGGTTCACCGGGAACCGGTTCGAGGAGAAGCACAGCTTCATCACGTAGGGGAATTTGCCACCTGCAATCATATTACAACAAACTGAAATCTAAGGATTGGCATTTAAACTCTCAAAGTAGGTTTTTGCTAAGCATTGCATCAACTACTTTGAATTATTTAACACCGCCACATAGATTGCCAACGGTTTTTCACCAGTTGACATAGAAAAGATTTTAACTCACTTATTGTTTTAAACTGGGTCCAATTGAAATAGAAAGTTGTCTTTGAAATGTAGAGTATAAGTGGAAACAATGGTGAAATCAGATCTTGACCAGAAACAAGGAAAACCAAAGTTGTGATAAGAACTGACCAAGGACAAAGTAGATTGATATCAAGAACAAGTTTTCTCTATGAGCTGCAGACAAGCCATATTTTCCTGGATTTTGCAGCAAGTAATTTATTTGTAAAAAAAAATTAAAAGGGTAAGAAACCCCAACTGTGTTTACACACTACAGTAGAATGCTTGCTAATCTGGCATGTTCAGGACTTTGGTGGTGACAGATTATTTAAGATGCTGGAACATCTTCTAAAAACAGCCGTTATTGTGTGACTGACTAAAATATTTAAAATTGTAGAGCTTTTGTCAATTACTCCAATGTCTGCCATCTGCTCCTTACTTCTGCCGCACGCTACCTTATCTTTCAATCGGCACCGATTCTTCCGATCACTACCAAACCAATTCAGCCGATTGCACCTGCCTCTGCAGCGCAAAAGTAATCTATGGCTTAGAAATGCATTAAAACATGTTCGACATTTAGCTTGATGTCAGATTATTGAAAGTGCCTGATCATCGGGTGCTGGATTGATGGGATTTTGCTGTAAAATGGTCTTCTAGAGTACGCCATGAGATTTCTGTCTTTGTGTCAGGCAGAAGTGTGCTTTTGGTAAATAAGCAATGAGTTTAGTACAAACATTTTCTAGGCAATGATCTGGAGATAACAAAAACTAGCCTATGGCACAACAAGCAGTAGTCCTGCTTTACAGTAAAACTTACTTGGATTTTTAACAGGGTGGTGATTGCAAAGCATCAATGCAAGAAGTGCCTTTTCAACACTCTGAAACTCTAGCAGGCCTGAGGAACTACGATCACCTGTAAACATACAAACATAAAACTATAAAACAAATTTTAGTGTGGTATGAGTGAAAGATGATTTCCATGACTCTAAGCAAGTATGTGAATTGTAATAAATAATATACACAATTTTCACCTATTTAATTTAAAATGTAATAAATACCAGCTAATAAATATCAGATAATATTGATTGATTAACAATACTTCAACATTTTCTGATCCATTGTTCCATTGACTATTCTCTGTGACTATAACTGCCCTTGCGTGGATCATATACAGCAAAGCAAGGAGTGAGTCGGTACAGTACAAAGGAGATCTGTACTGATACTGTACTGTACTGATCTGTACTAATTATCAAAAGTTCTGTATTTTTACAATAGTGTAAGCCTAAAATAATCTTTTCAACTAAATAATACTGGCCAGTATTCACAAAATGAAAACAAAATTTGAACAGATGATTTTTTTGTGAATTAAAATGAGCATACCTTTCATGGGAAACAGCTGCACATTTGGTCTTAGTTCACACTTTTCATAGAAAATATCTCTGAGCACATCTTCTGTGATGTTTGGCGGGGTGTTGAAGAAGTGCAAAACCTGGGAAAAATATGTTTTGTCAGATTTAAATAGAACAATAACATAGGAAGCCAAAAGGATGCACAAAAAGTAAGGTTAGAAAAACAAAAATACTAGAATTTTTTAAATCTAGTATTTGATCAGGATACTTGGTGAAAGCGTGAACAATTTAAACATACATCTTCATAACTCTACAGTAGTGAACTGCAGAACCTGACATTTTCAATAATTAAATACATCCACATTGCGTTCTGTCGTTTGGACATAGTATTTTGTGCGGAGTTTAAGACTATGACACATGAATCAGCCAGTTAGTCTGATTTTCAGTGTCATACATTGTATTTAAAAAAAGTAGGTCATAGGGTGTTATGTTAAAATATTAGAGAAATGTGATTGTTTCACTATATTCCCTGATAACCCTACTGGACTGCTGATATTTTTACCTTAGAGGGTCCCTGTATCCGATTTTTGCTGGCCATGGTCGGGTTGATGAACCGGTTGTTCTTGCTGCCCATGAAGTCCTTGAAGGAAGGACTGCTGTCTGGCAAGTTGTACGGTTGTGCCACGTCACTCAGGAACGCTTGTTTAGAAAATCTACAAGCCATTACAGAATGAATAGAACACAACCTTAACCAAAAATAACTGCATTTCAAAGTAGAACATTTCATACACCGTTAAGGGTTTTTATAAGGCATCAGGTTTAAATCACTCTCTTTCTGAATTGGAAAGAGTTCACTTCAACACAAGAAACACTAAACTTTACACTACAAACAATTGGAATATTTTACTGTCACTGTCAGTAAGGTTTGAAGGGCCTTTAGTTCAAAATACTGTCAGTGCCAGAGAGGTATTCCGATTCTCGAGTTAATTGTGTCACAATAGATTCTTTCTCCTGTTCAGATAGGCCTGTAAATACCCATGCATAAATCCTTTAAATTAAATTATGGGAATAGCAAAAATCTGGGGGGAAAACAACATGCAAAATTAATTTGATTTTTGTAATATTATAAACTATCTGAAACAAATTGTTATAAATGTAAAAAATACATATTTTAAAACAAAATTGTAAAAAGATAAGGAAGTCATTTTTTTAACTGTATTGAAAAGTAAAAGAAGTCTCTCATTTCAGCAACTTCCGCAGTAAAATTATGCTTTGAAGAGGTAAATACAGTCACAATTAATTGTTAATTTTTAATGCTCACCCTAGCTGAATCTGCATTTCGCCGACTGAAGTGTTGTTGAGATTGGAAATGCAACGCTCGACAGATATTGTGTCTCCCATCTGGATCATAGCACAGCCTTCCTTAGTCTTTAGAAACTTTATCTGCAAACACACCGTCCAAACTTGAGAAGTGTAAAAAAACACATCCATAATCAGTGTACTGTGTTAATTTGACTCTCATTCCACTTGAATAGTTTCATTTGGCACTCATCTACTACAATAGTTTAATATGTAAATAGGTGAGTTTTGTGTAGTTTAATAACTAAAATCAACCAAGATGCTTTGCCGGATGTTGATGTTTTACAGAAACGCTATAACGGTGAAATCAGATGACTTAGCGAACATGAATGAATAAAGCTGAAATGAGCTATTTTGCATACAGTTTACAGGTGTGGCAATGTGATAATTTCCATGCAGTAATAGGGAAAAATTTATTTAATTTATTTGATTTTTTTACCAGTATTCCTTTTCCTTCAAGCCTTTTAGTGTTTAATATCATTTTGTGAACAATTGATTAATTGTGTCGTAAAGTGAGTTGGTTCTCATTTAGTTAGACACACTACTCTAATGAATGTTAATCACACATGAATGTTAATGTACACTTTGTAAGATTCTCTGAATATTTATTGGCATTATTATTGGCTACAAAACATTGGGGTTACATTTCGCTTACCTTGATGACGTTGCCGTAAAGACAGAAGATGTTGAACAGTTTGTCCGGATTCACCTTGTCCTTGTCCAGTCCATACACCATCATGACACAGCCACCACCGCTGGTCTGGGTGCCGTTGGGGGGCCCCGTGGGGGTGAGGAGTCCGTAGCCAGGGCCCCGTGGTGCCGGGGGCCCCGGGTGCATCCCCTCCCCACGCCCCATGTAACGTCTGTTGCCATTGACAAACCTGCTAACATAGGTTCGAAAATGTATTCTCTGGCACAGTATCAATGGTGTAAAGAATCAGTGACTATTCAAACAATGCCCTGTTTAACTCAACCTACTAGATATCATGTCTAAAACTAATGTTTAAAAAGGAAACGAGAGTCCTAAAGTTCATTACTTTACATCAAAGATCCGGCTTCGAAAAAAACATTCAAATTTAAGTGTAACTACACAGTGGAAGTAAAAACATCCAATAATCTCCAATAATAATTATCCATCCAATAATAGATTTTGCTAGTCAAAGAAATTCAAAATACATAGAAATTGATAGGAAAGTTAAGATAAAAAGGAATAATAATGACAATGTTTTTGCAGTAGCAGAAGATGGAAATATGTCATGTATTGTAAATATTGAAATATTATTTAAAAATAAATTTAAATGTTATTCCACCCTAACATTTTAAAGAACTGCAACCGATAATCCATAAACTCCCACAACCAAGGTCTGTAGTTTTACCTACCCCGAGTCCATAGGTCCGCTGTGTGGAGGTGGAGGGGGGAACCTCTCTCCATAGTGGTCGTATCCGTGCTCGTTGTTATAATTGTCATCGTATTGGTCCACATAGCCCCCTCGAAGTCCATCCCCTGAAAAAAATAAATATTGGGCATCAAATAAACCCTCTAGAGCTATTTTATGCATAATAAACCTATTATACTCCTGTCAAAATAAATGTGGCAATTAGAAATTTGGTTCATAAACTGTATAATACACAACTTGCAGCACATCCCTTGGAGAATACAGATTAGTGTTCAGTCTACATTTTAAAATAACAATCTAGTTAATGACACAATTTTTCATGGTATAAAATTACTAAGGATTCAAATGCCAAAATGCTCCAAATAATCATAAATCTTAAACAATTTACTCATAGAACAATATAAAAATTTAGGATATATTTTTATAACACTAAAAAAACAGATAACTAACCAATTTTAAAATGGTAATTTGGTAAAAGGAAATTATTTTCAGTTGGTAGCACTGAATCACCATTTACCTAAAGCAATTGAAATTTTTTCCTTAAAAAAAAAACCTTGAGCTAAACAATGTGTAGGTGTAGCAAATGTGTAGACGTAGCAATACTGTAAATGGTTAACTACTACACCGTGAGTGAGGTAGGGATGCAGAGGAGGACATTGTCTCAGATGAGAGACACTTGTCTTAATGACCTGCTCTCTTCTCCTCCGCCATAATCACCCTCAACCCCCCTTGACTCAACTTCGGCCACAAAGCACCGCTCAAACTCGTTCAAACTCATTAAATTTCCCGACTCAGGTGCATTTGTGGTCTACATCTCGGCCAAGACACTTCGGCTGACCACAGAGCTACAAAACCACTGACTGAACTAAAGTTAACTTTTTCATAATATTACCAGCATCAGGAAACATTGAAATAGACAGAAAAATGATTATATTTGCATCTTCATCAGTTTTGTTTGGAAGATGAAACACAAAGGGCAGTGGCCTCTAGCGCATTGGCTTTGGTGTCAGCCGCAGATGAATCAGCAAACCTGCATCAAACAATAACAGTAAACTTGCCTACCGTCCTACAACAATGGATTGCTAAGTAGACGAGTAATCATTGAGACTTTATAAAGATGTTATTTGAAGTGATCCTGAAAGCGCAAAAATCTTTGGAGTCAATAATAGCAAACAAAACACACAATATAATGAACCTACATTATTTTACCTACAATAAGGTATATTGTAAAATAAACATGAACTGATAAAAGTTAGGAATGAAGCAACCCAATTAAAATTGAAAAAAAATTGTTAAAAATACAAAATTGAAACTTTGCACATACGATTATGACAACTACACTAAAGTACAAAATACCCCTGCCGCAGCAAACCTGCAGACTAAGCGAATTTCCATTTGACTGATTGGATTTACACTGATATGTCTACTTAAAAATATAACACTTATTCTTGATTTAAATAGAATTAGTTTAACAAGTACTTAGGTTTGCTGCATCAGGGAGGGTAAAACTGTTTTTTTTTTGTGTAAAATGTGAATAGTTAGTAAGAAATGAAAACATTTTCCAAATTTGATCAAAATATGTTCACAAACAAGAAAACTACAACAGTTTACTTATTCTCCATAAGAATAACATGGGAATTTTAAAATTACAATTTTTTTGAATTTTCTCCGTAACCATTAGGCGCATAATAACGCTTCAATATACTAAATCATTTGTTTTTTTAAGCTCTACAAAATGGTTTGGAAAGAAATTGCTAAATTTTATGTTTTTTGGGTAAAAAATGAGAAAACCCTATTTTTACCCCATAAAACCCCCCGTAAACCCCCGTTCCCATGGTCCGATCATGCTGGATCGCGAACTCGTTCGAATAAACGTACGTTTACACGTTTGTACCAAATTTCATCAAAATCGGATCATTTTTGCTCGAGTTATCGTGCTGACGGACACACATATATATATATATATATATTAAATATTTAAGTGAATAAGTACAACTGAGCACCCTGAATATTATATTTTATAAAAAGAAGTGACATGTTTCGGACATTAGTCCATTTTCAAACTTCAAAATATACTAAACACTTAACTGTTGTTTATATTGTTTGTTTGTAAATAAATATAATTTATATATACAGATGATTTGTAGAACTAGACAGATTTGTCATGTCTTGAAGATCAAGACATCTATGACAAATCTGGCATTTACAAAATTAACTGCACTGATTGTGAACACTTCTACATTGGTCAGACAGGACGCTCTTTTAAATCTAGATTCAAAGAGCACATTCAAGCTCTTAAGAGTAACAACAGAACATCCATGAAATCAAACTTTGCTGAACACCTTTTATCGACCAACCACAATTACACAAATTTAAAAAACAACATGAAAATTCTAAAAGTTTTAAACAAAGGAAATCGAATGGATTCAACTGAAGAATATTTCATATACGAAGAAAATCTAAAAAATCCAAATCATATTTTAAATAGCCAAATTCCTTCAAGAAACCCAATCTTTGACCAAATTTTAAAATTAAATAATCAGTAACAAAAATGTTTTTCCAAATCCTGTCTAGTTCTACAAATCATCTGTATATATAAATTATATTTATTTACAAACAAACAATATAAACAACAGTTAAGTGTTTAGTATATTTTGAAGTTTGAAAATGGACTAATGTCCGAAACATGTCACTTCTTTTTATAAAATATAATATTCAGGGTGCTCAGTTGTACTTATTCACTTAAATATTTAATATATCAGCAGCCCTATTACGTGAACATCTAAATTAAAATATATATATATATATATGAATTTGAACGGATGGTGTTTTAGGCCTCTAGGGACCTCAAAACGAAAAAAAAAATCGGTCCCGCGTCCAGGTCTTACCATGAGTACTACGGTAATAGCTTATTCCCTATATGGGAAATTCGCTAAAAACAGAAAATTTTTCTAATTCCTCAAACAAATTGGCGGCTATTTAAAATTTTGTTTCTTAAATAACTAAAAAACCTACCAACGTAGTTTTACAAAACATTGATTTTACAAAAATTCTAAATGGCCGCCATTTTGTTTGATGAATTTGAAAAATTGTCATAATTTTTTTGTAGCTTTGTCTAGTTGTCATAAAAACGTTTGTGTTAAGTTTAATCAATTTCGTATCTTTAACCACTTTTTTGTAAAAAAAAAGTTAAAAAAACCAAATGGTGGCTTTTTGAGTAACTAAGGACTTCCAGACAATTTAAATATGATATCATGTAAGATGATTTTAGTTTCTATCTAACAAAAAGTCGCTGTATTAGTAATGGTTATTGGTTAATACTAGGGTTTTGACTGTTCTCTTACAACGTACGACAAACACAAATATTATATCCAACCTCTATTCAAACAATGGAAAATACAATAATCGGCCAGTGATAATATTTACTAAAAACCCCCTTTCAGAGAACTCCTCTTATGCAACAGGTTGCGATTCCTACATCGATCTTAAAAGCGTCAAAGTCTAGATAAACACGGAACACACAACTGATGACTACAATCGTTAGCCAGTGATCCGAGAGAACTTCTTGATGGGCAAAGTTGGAGACACAAAGGAAGCCGAGGCAGCGACTGATGACAAGATCAAGCCTCATCTCTCACATGATTGATGGCTCAATACCCAACAGACCGAGTGACATCACAGTAATGGCTAATTAGACTGACTGACTTGTGTTCAAGATCGTTTATTTCTGCCTATTAAGCTATGCCAATAGTGGTCTTTTTGATCAGGTGTCATTGTTGACAATCAATATTTAAATTGAATCTTACGACTTGATTGGATACATTAGGTTTTATTTCTGTGACCTTTAAAAATGTAATAAGGATATTAAATATAAGATTTTGTTTTAAATAATGTTGTATTAATAGAAATTTTATGAACTATTACAGGATGACATATATCGGTGTGCAGCAGAGTTGGTTATTCTAAGATTCCTCCAGCAAGACCTGACTGGAGAGTATAAAAAATACCAAATATATCTGGGCACAGTAAAATAAAAGAATATTACAAAACAAATAAAATGATACTTCAAGATAACTAAAATTCTACTCATGCAAAAATGCTTTGTCAAGTCAAGCAGCATGCGCATGCAATTTTAAAAACTACCAATTAAAAACGAGAAGGATCAAATAAAAGAAATGGCGCAAATCACTGAATCAGTTAATTAAGTGAGGATCAAGACAGGTGGGAAGTGGGAGACTGACATGATTAGAGGGGGGCGGAGACTGTAACTTGGCAATGTCCCGGGCATCTGCCAAATATATCCGGCATTGTCACCACGCACACGCACACATGCTAGGAAGTGACAGTTTATCTATGGTACAAAAAAACTACAGCAACCCTTCAATAATCAAACAAAGAAGCTCACAAAGAAAACGTGAGATAGTTGAAAATATTTACAATTATTTGAAGAAATAAAGAAATCAGTAAAAATTATAGTACATTAAAAAATGCTTAGTCTTAAAAAATTCACATTAATTACTTCTTAGGTATAGAAAACCTTTCACAAAAAATCTCAATCGTCTTGATTCATTCAGCTATGTAAAATAAGCTAATTTGCTTGGTTGTTGTTTTGGAGGAATAACATCTTTTGTTAATTTAATGTTGTAATATTAAAGAGTTAGAATTGGTTATATATTGAAAGCAAAATAAATTACAAAAAAGTTGTGTGAACAGTTTATGCGTGGTTTGATCTTTCTGCACATTAATGTTTAGTCAATGGTTTAAGTTTAATGAATAACATATCTCTCGACAAACTCTGGATTCCACAAATAAAAGTAAGCAGTTCATCCTTCGAAGCTGAAGAAATTCCTAGTAGTCACCCATGGGAGTCCCAAAATATTCCAATGAAAAGTACGACAGTAGTATTGGAAGAAAATATATACCCTTCACCGAAAATACATAAGATTCTTACCTCTTTCGTCGTCCCACGGACCATCAAATTTTTTGGGAAACTTATCCAAAGGTCTCCGAGCTTTAAACAAACAAGTTGGATTTCAGCCTCAGTACTAAACAATGTGTCGGCCTCTTTGGTAGGCCAGAATATGAGGGTTCTTATAGTTACAGCAAAGAGGATTTTTGAAAACAAAACCAGATATAATATGGTCCCAAATCACAAACAGGCTTGTCATGAGGGGCCGAGAGAGAATAACAATGGGAGGGTGTTTTGTTTTGTTCAACATCTCTATGAGTTTTACGTTGTAATTATTTCGGTTGCATTCACTTGACAAGAGTGCTCACATGTTCAAACCAAATGTAACAAACTATATTTCATATCCTTTTGCTTACCATATTCTCTTTTAATGACACAAAGTACTTTTACAATTGTTTTACTAATAATATATTTTTACAGTGGAAAATAACAGAAAATATTGTTTACTATGTAAAAATAAATTAATGATAGACCTAAAAAGACTAAAAGTTTTGAATAAAATTGGGTAATCAATAAATAATTATTTAATTATAACCATTTGATGAAAGAAAAAAAATGGTCCTTTTTTGACTTAAACAATGTGACAAATCTCATATTTTAGAGTGAAAGCTTTAGAGAACTACTACAAGGCTGTGAGGTTGTCGAGAGAACAGTGGTGGCGAGTCATGGCAAAGAGGGTCATTAAATGGAAGACGGAGATTATACACCTTCCATTTGAATATCCAAGACTCAATGTTTCAGTTAATTACAATTTCACCGTTGTTCCCATTTCCACTTCTCCTCCCCATTATTCTGCTGGAAGCTCTCCCTAATCTCCGCAAACACATTATACCACCGTTGTCTGTCTAGCTTACGGCTTGTGTTGCTTCAAAAGTTAATTTAATTATTCTAAATGAAAAAAAGTACTATAATTTTGCAAGCACTTAAAAATAAAATGATAAATGTACCAGATGAATACATTAACAAAGCATACTAAATTATTTTTTTTTACAATTATTGAGGTTTGAGTATTTATATTTGATCCTAATGAAGTAACTGAAATGTTTTTTAAACAAACTGCCAAGAAGACTTCAGCTGGAACTGCTAACACTGCATGTTTGTTTCCAGACTCAATAAGCTCCAGTGAAAACATCCGGGTTTTAGCCTCAAGATAAAAATCAAATATATCGAATTGTTATTGAATAAAAGTGCCTATTTGGAATCCACATCGTATCAACTAAATTGAAAATAAAGAAGCAATTTACAGCAGCTATTTATGTTTACGGGAGAGTAATGTATGAAAACTGAGTATTTGCATACTGAACAAGTTAGTAAAACGGTAAAACATTATGTAATTGAACCTATTAGAATCTAGAAATCAAAAACATAACCATGAATACGACTGATAAGAAATAAATTACACGGGAAATAAAATGTTTACGCATTTTCAAAGGATGAAGCTGAATGATTTGGTAGAATCACACCAAAGTACATTTCTGACTCAAAAGCAAACAATGAAAAATCAAACGTAACATCAATATAAAAACAATAATAGGACTAATTTAGCAAACACACTAAAAAAATTAAAACACTTAAAGCAAAACGAAACAATATAAGACTGTTTTAATTACCTGGAGTGAACTTGTTGTAAGGGGTTGGACCAGGGGTGAATCTGGGGTCTGCCAGCAATGGAGCTGGTCTGTTAGCAGCATCAGCAGCCTTAGCTGTAACACAGAAAATATCACATGAGACATACGTCACAGACTTGAAACTGAGCCGTGTTGCGTAAAAGTTGACAAACCTCAAGCTGGAAAACATGATGAATTCAATTAGTAATCTATACTATTATATAAAAATCTAGTGGTGTCTGTCTGTATGTGTGTTACTAATAGGCACATAAACTACTGAACTGACTGGGCTTAAATTTTACAAAAATATAGCTACCATACCAAGGACCATTATAGGTCTATTTACACTTTGATACTGGTCGTGGTCTTTGCCCCTTGGGCTTTAAAAGTTCTGAGGTGAGGATTTTAAAAGTAAATATTGATTGGTCTCCATGGCTGCCATTAAAACACACACAATGTTTACAATTTGCCATGCCACCCAAATGTAAACAAGCTGAGCACATTAATTCACAATTCTACAGCTGGTTTATAAATATAATATTCTCTACAATCATGTGACATGATTATTTATTCTTATATTTGATGGTTCATTGATTATTGGTTTTATGAAATAAGTGAGATTGTATATCTGTTGCTGTATCTAACCCTAATTAATTATTTAAAATTTCGCTAATGTGAATGGTTGTATTGAAAAGATTTTGGTGTAAAAAATAGTAAAATTATAAATAAGTCGCATTTACTTGAATCATTATAACATTTTTGAACACTTAAATTGTGTTTAGAGTACGGTACACACACCTTTAAAATTGAAACTTTTTTCTCAAGGAGATGATTAATTAACTTTTGACACTTCCTGTAGATTTCACATTCTATTCTGAATAACTTTTTACGAGCGTTCCATGATTATTACATGTATATTTTCAACCAAGTTCCTCTTAACTTAACTGACCCTTGACATAAACATTGTTTGAATGACGTTAAATTTCCTAATTCTAAGCTATATTAAAATATTTCAATTTAAAACAAACAATAAAAATCTAAGTTTTATATGCACTTGCCTTTGGTACCGGTACATGAATAGTAGGAGTTATAAATAGTAGGGCTAAGTATGTTTCTGTTTGTTTTAGTAATAAGAGTGTTAATGTTTTTGTTTGTTCTCATAGTAGGTATATAATGAGATATTTTTATAATCAATGCTTAGCGAGCAATGCTTTTTAGAAACAAGATCACATGTTTAATTTAATTCAACCCGTAATATTAACCAGATGTTGTAAATTATTGTTTGTCTATGTTTGATTTTATCATTTAAAAGTAAGTAAAAGCTTTGAGGGTTTTACTTGTTTTATTGTTTGAAAATGTTTTTTTATGTAATTAGTAAGTTAATAGTTTTGATAGGTACATTTATTGGAATTTAATCTTATTTTACTCCTTTTTCATGTCAGATTTCAAAAAGCACCATTTAAACATAGGCTACATCAACCCCGGACGAAGGACGGGTCCTCTGCTAGTTTTAAATATACGTGTGAATGGCTTGAAACAAAAGCAGAACTAGAATACTACATTCTTTGATATATTTTATGTGTAAATAAATTAAATTGTGAAATCTCTTATAATTTGATACATAGACAGAAATTCCTTTATCTGTAAAATGAAAAATATTACTAATTTAAGGGCAGATAGAATAGATTATCATGTATTTTTTATATTTTTTATCAGCACATTGATTAAATTTTGAATCCTCTTAAAGTGTTAGATAGTCTGTTACGTTTTAATTAAGTTTTAACATATGTACTTTAAAAAAATTACAAAGATGGAAAAAACGTAAATGTTTGGGAATATGCTATTTTAGAAACCACACCCAAAGAATAGTTTAATTGTAAAATAAATTTATTTTGGTTAAGACACTTTTATAATAACGCCTCAAGACTTTTTGGCACACATTACAACTATACATAAAGGACAACTCTTGACTAATATGCAGTTGGTATCAACAGAAATTAAAACGTTTGATGATTTCAATAACATCCAACCGAAGGACACTACAAAATTAAAAATATTTCTTTTGTAATGCATATACTTAACTTTTAATGAATTATTAAAAGAACCACTATATGATTAACTTCAGAGCAAAATTCACAGGTACTTAATAATTAATGTTAATGAGCTAACATTGTGCAACAACAATTCAAAGCTAAAACTAAAAACTGCCATTAGGGGTTTCCTTTGTTATCTTATTCTTTGTTACTGGCTGAACAATTGTGAAAGGGTTCACAAAGACAAGGGTTGGGAAAACATGTGAAAGAACCACACTGAGTTCTCAACATTTGTGTGTTATTACATGATAAATTACAACTGTATTTAATGAAGTATTATAGTTTCCTCTTGCAAATAGAAACAATTTTTAGTAACTAAATATAGTATGAAAATTAAATAGCATTAAGATAATAAAGTAAATTTATGACAGAAATTATTTTTTTAAAGTAGGCCTACACAAATTACTTGACAGTTTACGTTATCATTGTAATCAAGGAAAAAACAATGATTTATTCTAATAAAATTTGAGAAAATGCCTTGCTGAAAAATTTTTAATCAATCAATGAGTAAAACTAATAAAAGGCACTGTCAAAATTAGGATAGTTTTTCTAGTTTGTTCACACAAACTCCTAAAAACAAAATAATTAAAACTCTTTTTCTATAGAATCTTTAATTGAGTTTACAGAAATGTATTATGTATACAAAGACTTTTAAAGGAAAACCTTTTCACAATGGCTGAGTTTTAAGAACTTTATACACAAATAGACGTATCAACTAAGTTCAACAGCAAAATCAGTTTACAGAGAAATGTTTATGGTGATTCAACTTCACAGTTTAAATTATGAGCTTGTTTACTGAAAACTTTAACACCTTCAAGTCTTTAATGGGGTAATATGTTAAAGTAGCTTCAATCAATTTAATTGATATTGCTACAACAACTCAAAAATATGTTACAATATAAAGTGTATATAAAGAGTCATTTAAAAAATAAATAGATATATTATTAGTTTACAGTAACTTTGTTTACAATTTTGAGGTAGCAAAAAATCCTAAAAAAGGAATTTTGGTGATGAAAGGGTCATTATTACTCAAGCATCATTCAATACAGGTATTGAAACAGCAAAATCTTCACTTCAGCAAAATATCTGTACAGGTATGAACAAAGCAACATCTTCACTGGGGTACAATATCAGGATGTGTGAGGTAAAACGAGCATCTTCACGTCAGCACAATGTCTAAGACAAATGCGGTGTAAGCTACATCTACAACTCAGCACAGTTCTACGATTTATACAGTTACACCAACATCTTCACTTCTGAACAGGAAATTAAAAACTGGAAAACGTAATTTTGTAAAACTCTGTACTGCATCATTCATTACCACCGATAAGTTAATCCTTTCTCAGTCTTGATTGTCACAACTGTTTTGAAGGGGTGGGAGGGGGTGGGGGTTAATATGTACAGGGTATTTTGCTGCATGATTGCATGGAACAATTGACATAAAAAAAATTTACAATGGCCCCTGATGGAAATGTATCACTAATATATCAACACCTTCACTCCCTTGACCTTATAGTTTCATGGCTGTATGCATCACAAATTTCTTAGGATCTTAATACACTTAATATTTCTTTTTCCCATTTTACCTGAGAACAAATGAATTAAGACAGATAAAATATGACACAATTTCCACTTACAACTCTAACTTACCAAACTTATCTGACCATATTACCTGAATCAGTGAGTGTCCACGGTAACGGTTGGTAACAGTGGTTACGGCGGTAGTACCGACAGGTGGTAACACTTACACGGTCCAGACAGGTCCTGCACATAGACAAACATTCCTTCGCGTCAGAAAACTCAAGACAACGTTACTGTGTATGTATGTGAATCGGCAATTTGAAAAATCCTTTCGCATGTACTGATTTGAGATTTTTGATCCGATAGAGTCTGGCGCTCGGCCAAAACTAAACGGCTCGTTTGTCTGTGTGCAGGATGTCAATGTGTGGTCGTGTGTTGTCGTACATACCTTGTCAGTGTCCGGTTGTATGTTCTCTGTTGTCTTCCCGTGTCTGGTGTCTGATGTCTTCCACATCCACTTTTTCATCAGTCAATTAATAAACTAAATCTGATCATTCGGCCAATAGTTATATTTGGTTCGGAAAACCCCCCAATGTTCATTCACTCTCATCCTCAAACGGAAATTGAAACTTCCAATGTGTGTAAAGATTGATGAAAAAGTGGAGGAATTGTGTTGCTTCTATTGTATGACTAGTATGTTAAGTAAAACACTTTATAAATAAACAAACTGTAAGTATTGAGGAGATAGACAAGAGAGCCAAACATACGCAATTGTGTCATCTACAATGTCGGTATTGTACAAGAAAGATGTGTACAAACAAATTGAATGTAGTGTAAAATGTTATAGTTTTTTTTTTTACATTTCTTAGGTTTAGTTACATTATTTTTTTATTTGCAAAGGAATTGTTACACAACTATTTTCATTGCAATCAAACAACAGTATTAATTTAACTTTTTGACAGTGCACATTTTGCTTTCACGCTCTCTGGTCACTCTTGTCTGTATATCCTCAATTGTTAGTAGACATGCAAACATAACATCTAATGTAAAAAAATAAAACACTCATTAATATTAAAAATTATATTTAACTACTTCCAAATGACAACCAGCTTTCATAAAAAAATAATTACAAGGAGCAAGTAGATAATAATCTTAAATTGTAATCAATCATATGTTAATGGTGTGAATGACATGTTTTGAGTAAATTCAAACCTTATTGTAGAAGAGTTACAGTATAAACTTCAAGGAATTAATAATAAATTAAGAGGAATATTGGAAAAGTTGCAAGCCTTCGCTTGATGACTCAAAGTTTATATGAGATGTGATGTTAATGGAAGTCAAGTTTGAACTTTTATCAGCCCAAGAGTAATTTATCACCTTCATGTAATTATAGCTTAACTACGGCTAAGCCAGTGACTTTTGGTCTTTGCCTCATCTACCTTAAATGGGTTCTAAAGCTAAAGCTGTTTGTAACAACATACA